ATTGCTGGCTTGTTGATATTTTTATCATCCTCCTTACGCAGCTCTTTATCCTGCTTATGGCTGTTTACAGCGCTTTAAATGTTGTCCTTCAAATGTTGTATTGTTGTTGATGCTTAAAAGCTCAAATCAAATCAAATTTGATGCGCCTCATTTGTGGCAATTACTTGTGGCGAGTACTTGGGAGTGAGAGGGAAATAAAGTCATAATATTTATGACTTCAAGGGTTAAGCGGGGGAAACCCTTCACACGAGTTGACCAACATAAATATTTATCTATTCAATTGCATAAAGTTTCTTAAGTTATTCTTTGACCACGTTCTCAGCTCATGGGTTCCGTTCCTTTGTGCGCCGATAAATTGAACAATTTTCCATTTATGCGAAATGCACATACAACTTTTTACCTCACACACACACACACACACACTCGTGTGCTGGCACGCAGGACGTCTTTTGTACAGGACACTTCTTGGCTGTTGTTCGCATCCTTTAATAAACTGCTCGCATAAAGAATTGGGCGCAGATAAAAAGTATGGCAAACATGTTCCGCACAAAACTTTGCCATACACTGGGTCCCATTATCAAAATGCTGCCACGCCCCTGTTCACGAGAATCTCTTTTAGGCTTGAGAGGCAGGCACAAGGAACTGTAAGAGAGTTTCGCATTTTGCTGCTGTTCGTTGAGAATGCAACGCGCTGAAGCTGCAGAGGGGTTTCCGAGCTGACCAGAGAAATAAGTGCAGCCAAGGGTTAATAGAAAGTAGCTGTAGTAATAGATATTTGCTATGCATTTTTCATAAATATAATTCCATTTTTTTGCAAGTGCCCAATTCTTTGTTGCTTCTCCTTGCTAGTTCTCTTGGGCGTAATTTATTTTTCCAGTATTTTGGCTTCATTTGTATTTGTTTGTTGACTTTGTTAACTTTGTTGTTGCTTTACATAAATTTCAGTTGAAGACTTTTTCTTGCAATGCGGAAATTGTCGTGAATAGTTCATTTCAGCATTTTACGTTTTGCGGGGATTTATTTTTGTTTGGATCTTTTTTCTACATTTCTTTTTTGGCGTGGAAAACTTAGTCCAAGCAGCTGCGATTGCAATTGCCATTTAGTTGTTGTTGTATCTGTTGGCAGTTGGTAGCAAAAATAATTTCCCCTTTATGCAGATGAGTCCTGTTCGCCGTCCTTGCCATCGTCCTTTCTCGTAATGAAATTGACATCTTGTGTCGCGATTTCAAGCTGATTTTGTGCTTTGCTTTCCTTTATTTCTTTTACAGCGCATTCTGTGGTCCTTGTTTTCCCATCAGCATGAAAATAGTGCCGGTATCTTTGCTTGTCTCGCAATTTAATTTCCGCATTTTGTTTAGCTTCTCAGCATGACTTTTTAATAAATGAGAAAAGAATCGCTTCATGCCCCTAAACTCTATAAATGCAGGACACTTTTTTAAACTAGCTATTAATTAATTTTGATTGGGAAGTCCTAAAATCATAAAATATTCATTTGAAGTTATAATTGCAATTTTTGCAATTTTGACCTAGTTCTGTACGCCACACTGAAAGTTATTTTAATGCCAATTTTACCTTTTACTCTGTACTTCTTGCCTATTTTAATTTGGAACATCAAACTACTCTATTCAAATATTTAAATTATATGTTAATTATTATATTATTTATTATTTTGATATTAAGAACTTTGTATATAAATAAACAAAATATAGCCTTCAGCCCACTTGAATGAACAGGGTATTCTGCAACCCATCGACTGACTTATGCGGTCAAACCAACCCTTGGTGAAGTTTCGAGAACGCAAAGTTGGCGAAAAGTTCGGCGCACAGCAAATAGAGCAGGCACACGATCATAAGCGACGTTCGCAGAAAAGTATTTCTTGTAGTGACCAATAAACGTCAAGCAATGAAATGTCCTGTGAGCGCGATGCATCTGTATTTGGGAGGCCTCTCAGAAAATAAAGCAAGCATTCGACTATACGAGGAATTCGCACAGAAACATTTCTTTAGGTGACCAATTAGCGTGAAGCCATTAAACTCTTGTCTATGCGATGCATATGCGTTTGTATTTGTACATGCATTGCATTTGTGAGTGGGGCATAGCAGACGCCAAATATCGGCGCTCAGAAAATATGACATCATACGAAGGGTTTGCATAGAGACAATTCTTGTACAGTCCATTCAGCGTTAAGCATTAAAAATTGGTGGGATAACGCAGCAAGCACGCACACAAAAACTATAATGGTATATTTGCGAGTAAGCGATCCAGAGAATAATTCGGTTTAAGTGTATGTTAGCGTACGCGCTATCTAATCATGCATATGTTTGTTTACTAGTGCGTTATCTACCTGAACTGCACCTTACTCCCACGAATAATAAGTGATTAACGCTCACAGTTCACTACGAGAATTGCTTTCTCTATTTTTTGAGTACCCTCACATACATGCATCGCACTCTCACGAAATTTTAATGATTAACGCTAAGTGGTTCGTACAATAAATTCATCTGCATGAATTCCTCGTATGAAACACAAATCCATGCACTCACAACAATGTTAAGGCTTGACATTCATTGGATTGTACAAGAAATGCTTTTTCTCGAATTTGTATTGCTCAATAATTGTTGCTCACTACAAAAATGATGTAGTGCGAAGTTTCCCTATTATAGAGCTAATGCATGTTTTTAACCCAAGTCAAGCTGTCATTCGAGTCATTCGATTCGACAAGAATCAATTGTGTTAAAAAATCTGTTTCTTGCTGCCTGTTCTCTCCCCGATTTTGTTTCTGTCTCTCTCGTTTTCGCTCTACCTCTCTCATAAGCCATGGCAACATCCATGCAATGCGCGACACTTGGATTTTTATTAAAAATTGAAAAACTGTAATGAAAAATGCATGAAACAAATCGACGGCGGGCTGCATTTGTGACCAATAATTAAATTGAAAATGACAAATTTTATTAATTATTATACTTTTCTTTTTTGTTTTACATTCTCAATGACTTGAAAATGTTGTGTGCAATAAAAAATGAATAAATTAAATGGCATAACAAATAAAATGCGGTCGCAATATTCAGTTCAATCGTTTCGAAGTTACCTCACACTTTGTGCACCGACTAATTGTTTATTAATGTGATGCACTTTATATACTCAGTAATCTGTAAATGTTTAAATGGGGTATAGTGGACTTCAACGATACTACAAATAAAATGCATGCTTGGCTAGAAACGCCAATAAGTGAAAATTGACGTGCCTGCCTCACTCTTAACAACTCGAAGAATCAATAAAAGCTGTGGGCTACAAGAATTTTGCTCATTTTATGATTGATTATGAAATAGAAAGGTGTTTAAGTATTTTACAGTTGATTAAACTATTATTTTACAGAAATTAAACTTTTAATATTTACCTGAAAGAAAGCCACGCTCAGCACATCATAATGAGTGAGGGTAGTTAACATTCGGTAGGGTATCTTCTGATCAAGAATAGCCCGGCTGGAACTTTCCCCCTTGTTTTATTCTGTATTGTTAATATGTGTTCTTTGTGGTGCTTGTTGTTGATGGTGTTTGTTGTTTTTTTTGTGTTTGTTGTTGTTGTTGCTTTTGTTGTTGTTGTTGGTGGTGACGGTGTGTTTCGTGTTTCAATATGGTTGGCAATTAAGCACTTCACACATATACACGTATTTGTTGTTGATTTTTATTTTAATTTGCTCATTTTGGAGTCGGGCTTATTATATCAATTTATATGCCATTTCCTTTTTGCAGCTTCAACTCATTTCGTATGCTTAAATACAAGTTACATAGTTATATATATTTAGTGTATATATATTTTTATATATTTATGTATATATATGTATATATATAAATATATACACGTATATATTTATATTAGTATATATGTATTTTTTTTTGTTTCGTTAGCTTTGCAATTATTCGTAACTCATTAATATATTTTATATTTAACATATTTCGTTTTGTATTGAAAGCAACACAACTTTATAGCTTAAATGTTTAACATTCTCATTAAGTATATTTTTTACACTAATATTTAAGCTTTAGTTACAATTTACTTAAGTTAAGGCTTAAATAACAAATAGAGGAGATAAATGGAACAAAACCATATTTAATATTCGATTGGGTTATTTATGGGAAACATGGCAAGCAGGGTGTATTCAATGGCAATTATACCTGATTATATTCTTTGTAAACTCTGATAAACTGAAGAATAGAGGTTCTTTGGCAACATAGTTGTTAATGATTCCAAGACAGAATACAATTAATTGAAATTAACTTCTGGAATAATGATTTCTTATGGAATTTTATTTCTGAGGAAGTTTAAGTTATGCTGGAAATTTTGGAACATGTTTTTAAAATATTACTTATTTCATATCGAAAATTTTGTAACTGAAGCCTGAGAGCAGCATCAGCTATAAAGCGCTTGGCCATAGACTGGCTTGAACAGCCTATTTATAATACCTTCGATGCATTCCAACCAAAATTAGAGTCTACAACTTTGCTTTAACTGAACAATGCATTTATAATTAGGTGCACCAAAAACCCAAATACACACAAGTGCACAATCGCACATCCTTTGTTATATTTATGTACTATATTTTAAATGATTTTAACTCTCGATATGTTGTTGCTTTTGCTCTAACAATATACTTGTATAATTCGCATTTTAATGTTGCATACCTTAAGGCAAAAGTATGACAACTAACTGGTGCGTGTGTGTGTTTGTTTGTTTGTGTGAGGGTGTGTATAAAAATGCCATCAGCGTTTAACGCACAAATATATATATCATCATATAATTTTTAAAACTCTTTGACCCCAATTGAGTGCATCAAATTGGTTATATACTGAATTTTTTCGTTTTATCTTTTCATCTTTAAGCACAGCATTAAAGCAAAATCAAATTGCAATTGTTTACCCTTGTGAAAGTTTATAAATTTTAACTATACATATAAATATTTATATATATTTACTATAAATGATAAGCTAATATATTTGTTAGGTTCACGCACAGGGTTGCCACATTATTTTAGCAGCAAGCTCTATTTGGCTTTGTTGCGTACTTCGTTTCGGGGGCGGATCATAACTAGGGTCTTGTTGACTTGGGGCTATACGAGTAGCTTGTATTATATAGTGTATATATATCTATATATCATAAATATGCTAGATGAAAGCCTTACATCAACTAGATATGTAGCTCAAAGTTAACATATACTTAAACTAAGACTTGCACAAACCTCTCCGCGCACCATTATTAACAATGTTGGCAGCAGAGCAAGCCACGCAATGGCGACAGCGCAGTTGGCGTCGCTGTCGGCGCTGCTGACGACGGCGGCGCCAGGGGAATTGCCATTTCCGGTTACCGCACTTTGCGTTTTATCTAGGAAGGATTTTTGTTCTGATAAACCGATTTCATTCAAATTCGATTGATAACGCGTATCTGGAGGCGGTTTTGTTAATTTTTTTTTGATGATGATGATTGGGATAGCACAAGAGAAAGAGAGAGTAAGATGGGAATAAAAAGAGGACAGACAGAGATATAAAGCAAATGTGTTGTGGTAAAACAAATAAGGTGCCAGGTGATCTATTGAGTATTCTCGATGATGCGCCGATCTCCTTGGATACTTACTTTTATCCTGACCGTAATTGGAGCGCGTGGCATCGGAATTGCCATAGCCGATATTATTGCTGCCGCCCTCGCCCCAATGCGACTCGCTTGTGTAGAGACCCGAAGAGGCAGTCGTTGGCGGATAAGAAACTGCAAAGTGAATTAAGCAGAGTATTTAGTTCTTTCGAGCTAATTAAAAGTTAGTGAAATTGTTTGTACTATTGATATATACATAATAGCACTTCCATCTACCTATCAATTTATCTAGTCATTCCACTCGATAACCTTTTTTCACCCTAGTTTTTTCATAATTATAGACTGTATTTCTTCTCGCTACCTCATATTACTCTGTTCCTTTTTATTGGAACTTACTTGATTGATTTCTGTCTATAGAAATTTCCTGCATATTTGCCTACGGCCCACTGTCAGGCCTCTCACACATAAAGGTTTTTCTTGTCGTCTCACGCCCACACTCACACACATGCTCAATTTTGCATAAAATAGCACAACTTGTGGAGTTTATTTTGTTGTATTCTGTTTTTCTATTTTTTTAACATTTGTTGTTTATGATTCATTTACATATTTTAATTTTTATAAATCAGACAAATGTATTTCAATATTCTGTTGTTATTGCTTTTACTGGAATTTGCATGCAAATTGATCAATTTTAGCATTTTTAGCACGTCTCATTTCATTTGATTTTTTATGCTATTTACTTAAAATTCGTGCCGTCTGTTATTTTGCGACTCACTCCACATATTTTATACGCCCGAGTTGATATAACAAAATGCTAATTATTTTGTACTTTCATTATGTGACAATGTGCACAATTTCCAACAGCCCAGCCCTACGCACCAATTGCAATTGCTCATCTAATTAAAGCTCTCAGCTATCCCGGCTACATCGTCCATATTTTCAATTAAAGCACGTTTTAATTATGCCGCCCAGTAAAATTTCTCTGCACGTTTGTACGATGCGCAAATTCAGTTTTCCCCCAAACTATTTTAAATATGCAAAATCATTTTGATTGTCAAACGGTCTTTGGTCAGGATAGTACCTCTTATATGCAATATTGAATATTCAGTTCACTCGGGAATCTCATTAGAAACTAATTAAAACATTGATTTCTGGTCATACTAAATTGAATAGGATATGTTCAAATTAAAATATATTGGCCTTTTTTCCGTGTTTGGTATTGAATATGAATAATTGATTACGCGGCTTTCTATTCTCTAGCTATTATTATGGAAATAGAGTGTACATTAAAAGTACATTTCAAGTCAAGTTGGAGACGTGTGAAGCAAACTGGATTAGACAAGGGTAATGAGTTGGATCCCAGAAGGAATGACGCCGTCGAATATTATTATATATGCAATAATACCACTAATTTTATTTATCTATTATTGCTTTACTTGCACATTAAAATACCTAGCTGCAAGTTGTGATTTAAGCTGTGTTCTCTTTTCACCACAAATAATCTAGCTAAGTTAAATCCTAGTAAGTCAACAAAAATAAAATCTAGCTCACATCTAATGAGCTCTAGAGCGTAGCTTAAAGCCGAATTCAGCTAATTAAGAGATCCATATCCAAGGAGCAGACTGAGAGAAAATACGCTGAAGCCCATATAGAAAAAGTGCCGCATTGGCCTTAACACGAATTGACAAATTTCAGCCATTTAGCCATTGAGGCGAAAAGCAGAACAAAGAAAATCTCAACCGCAATGGCCCAGAAAGGGTCGGACTTAATTGCCTGGCGCGCTGCTGACCAGGAACGTGAACTTTTCAGCGGAAGGGGACTAAGACGAATGCTTAACACCTTGCAATGCCCTGCTCGCTGCTTGGCCAAAACTAAAGGCAGAGGAGCTGAGCCATAATCAAGCCACTGGAAATCAAGTCACGTGCTCTGTGCCTGAGGTGAGCAATTGGCTGGGCAGGGTTGCCGGATTGTCCTGACAGAAGTTTTTGCTCGGCCGGGAAGGGGCGACATAGAGGGGCCTCGACTGGGTTTTTGACTCACACATGTGCTGCTAACCTCAGGCAAACTTAAATTTTATTTCACATGGATGGAAGGGAAAGTGTGTAACTTTTCTTTCTGCAACGCTTCAATTTTGTAGCTCAAGTTGTGAGTTAATATCACGTTTTAAGTTTAATTACGTGATGGATTTGCTGAGGGCTGCTTTAAGTTGCCGAAGGTTGAACGAAATGGCATTTCTTTGCTCCACAATGAACGCAATTATCTACCTGAGTCTAATTATAAATAATTGTAAAATAAAGTTTAAGCGCATTAAAGCAAGTCGCAAACTGAAAATTCGGATTACAACAAAGATTTGCCAAACATTAAATAATACTATTATATGCATATGGTCAACACATATAAAATCTATAATCTGTATCATATTGCTGATATATATTAAATCGTATTAATGGGCTTCTCTACGATCCTAACGTCAATATGCACGTCTTATCCAGATAATCTGAAGTCTCCTTACTTATATAAAAACAACATTTCATTAATAAAGCTATTTTCATTAAAATAAACAAAAAGAAAATAGAACTCAAAAAACTTATTTAAACGCTGACTTTGCATTCCCACCATAAAATGAACTAGGCTGCATATGCGCAACATATTTTGCTCTGCCTCGCGAGGCATTTCCTTTTCAGTTTTCGCAACTTTTGTTTGGCAAACAATTAAAAATGCATTTGATGGCAACTTTTTGAACAAGCTGCGGAATTGCATGACGACAGTGCTGAGTGCTTAAATGTGTCGCAATGTGTTTTAGAAGCCTCGAGTTATTTACTCACCATATAATCGTATAATGCCATCAGTTTCGCCTCTGGGATTCTTGGCCACGCATTTATAGATGCCATCATCGCCGCTGCCGACATTTATAATAGTCAGCTTCATGTGCGTTTTGTAAGCGGGCACGCCGACGCTTGATTCGACTCTGTAAATGAATGGAAATTCAAGAAGAAAAATTGTAGTCCTTAATGCATACTATGTAAAGTTTACTTAAATGATAAAGAATTTGTCTATTACTTACTTGTATTTATACGAATCATGTATGATTGGTCCCTCGCCGCGTGTCCAGTAATTCAAGGATGTCGGATGTGCCTCCGTAAAACATTCGATGGTAACATTGAAACCTTCGGGAGCGCCAACCAACTGATGTGGAATGAGCAACATGGGCGGAACTATACAAAAATATGCATTATATTTAAGCATAATTACAAACTTTGTCTAGACTTGAAAATATGTAAGTAGTTTACAGATTCTTTTTTAATAAAGAGTGGAAACTCCTAACTTGGTATATTTGAAGATTGTTATAGTATGCAATCTATTAGAAATTTTTTATATAACACTATGAAACAGATTTAGGGTAGCGCAACCTACACAAGGGTGTACAAAATTGACTGGAAACTGACTATCTATGTTTCGTTCCGTTGCATAGTGTAATCTGTCGACAATTTAACTATTTTCATTTAGTAATTCCATATATTTTGTATTCATCTAGTAGAGCCCCTCAAATGTGTTTAGCTATATCTTTTATTCAAAAATGACTATTATAGTTATGCATCATTGATGTAAGCTAATTATGGTGAGACCGTCGGCATTGTCAACTTATCGCATTAATTCTGACAGCTTCCAACTTTCAATGCTTTTGTTTACTGCGTTACCCAACACTACAGCGTACATAATGTCCAGTCCACTTAACCCCTTGACAAGTTAATTAAGTTGCGCATTTTGTCACACTTAAGCCACGTGACACTTAATATCCTTTTGATTAAAGATATTAAAAAAAAAGCGAAAGAGTGGGAAAAGGTGTCCAACAAACCCGTCAAAAGGCAGCTATAAGCGCAGATACTTAAGGCCACTTTTCATAAACATAAAAACAACGCTAATTTGTGTCCAAGCTGATTAAAATTTCAATTGGCTTGCTACAGCAGGGAAAAAAGAGAGATGGAGAGCGAAAGAGAGGTGGAAAACCCTTCAGGTTTGAGCCGCAGCTTAATTGCCAGCTCGTGGCTCGCATAAATCAACAAAAGGTAAAAGAGCCAGCGAAATGACAAGGCAAACCCAATGAATGAATGAAGGAACCATTGTGTATAGAGTCAGGACTTTTTATGCTCAGCCTAATGATGATGACAAGCTCAGGGATCTCGCAGACAATAACTACAGGAAATGCAAAAAAAAATATTCATTAGTGGCCATTGAGGAGCAGAAAGAAAAAAGCAGCTGCTACTCGCATTTAATATCTTAATTAAAAACATGCGCTGTAGTGCATCTGAAGTGTTGCAAAAGTTCTGTCAGGGATTCTGTATTATGTTTTTTATATGGATTTTGGGTGCACAATGACAAATTTTTGTATAGGTGTCTTTATATAATTACTAGCGAGGCGCAGGACTCAACAGATGCACACAAATCACAAATAGACTCGAAGAAACAGAAGAAAAAAACAAGCCAAACAAAATACTGAATAATGCTATTCATAAGATTTTTCATGAGCTGCGCTCGCTGAAAGAAAAATAGTTTTTCTTTTTCTCTTGTTACCCACTTTGAATCAGACTTGTGTATATGTTTGTGTGTGTGTGTGTGTGCCTGTGCGAACTATGGCGAACTTTTCCTCCTGGGCAAAGAAAAGGCGCAGCCTCGTTGCCTCGTGTACTCTTGGCTTGTCTTGGCTCTCAATTTAAACGAAAATCAGTTGCATAAAAAATTATACTTAAGATCTGGCTCGACTTGCATTTGCATAAACCAAAGTCAGGAAAAAATGTATGTATATATATATATGTTGGACGAGCGAAATAACTTGAATGCATGCATAAATTGGACTTGAAACTTTGTTTGTCAATATGCAGCAGGAAGGAACTTATAAGTTTACCGAAATGAATTAAAGAGATTGTACGGTCAAGAGAGGTCGCTAGTTATGATGAAATAAAGTTATTCAAACTGTAAACCAAATAAAATCAGCAAGTTTTTTGGAATAAATTCTAGATTGCAATTCAGTAAAGGCGAATAACCATAACTCAAGGTAGAGTTACAGATATTGATTATAAAAATATTTAAAGCCAACGAAGAAATTTATAAATATGAGTGGCACCCGCCTAAAAGAAACTTATATTTGGAGATATTAGATATTGTGGAAAAGCGGGAAAAAACATTTTAAAAATTATGAAAATCTGATAGAAAGGCATACTAAGTTAGCGTAAAGGAGCAAAACATAAATTGTGTAATAGAGGAAAATAAGAGAAAGTAGAACATGCTTGTAAATCGCATAGAAAGGCGGTCGCTAGAAAAGATTGAAATTTAAAGCAATTCAAGTATACACTTCTAAGATAAGCCTTTTTATGCCTGTGTTGAAAGAAGTTTTCCTGTGCTTCCATCGAGTTGCCCACTGCAAGCTCTTTCCTGCTCACTTTTAAGAGCACGTGCTGTACGCAATCCTTTTGTCCATCTTTATAGTCCATTCACCTGTCCCATTTGGCCAATCGCAATGCAATCAGCTCACTGCCATCATCTTGTCCATTTGCCATTACACTAATTCCGCAAATATTGCGCCAACATCCTTTGGTGCAATCAAGTCCACCTCTTCGCCAAACAATACCGTGGTACTTGAACGATAATCCTTGACTGAGCCCCAGCCCAAACTACGCCAACCGTAACGAGGCTTCATTAACTGCTAATTTTCAAGTTGTTTACACTCGGCAATGGCACCTTGCAATTTTCTACAAGCTGCCAGACAAAACTGTCACTCAGTGTCCACTCTGACTACTGAGGCGCAAGCACCAAACCACTCAGCAACTCCCTCTCCCTTGCTCTCGCCCTCGCCCACTCCCTCGTCTTCGCCCTCTCTAGTCCGCACTGCCTGGCTAAATTATTGTTGACTCAAGTCCTTTTTTTATCCAGCTACCCGACTCGCTGGCCACTTAGCAGCGTCGCTTGCTGCTTTCTTGTGTTCAGCTTTTACAATATTGTCGCCACTCAATTGTAATTTAAATCAGCGCCAAGAACTATACAGGAAATGCTTGTCGTGTCACCATGTCGAGAGTACCTAAAGTCAAGTACATTAGTGTGTTCTTTTATATGCCCTGGCATTGGGTATTATCATTTTGTAGGGCACTTGAGCTGGAAAAATATTGATCATTACATCTCTTTTGGTTTCCAAGATTTCACTGGATTTATGGCTTAAATAATCTAAGCAAAATCTCCGTTGGGCTCTGTTCTCCGCAACTCTAAGGGTCTAGTTTAACAGAGTATAAAAACCATATATGAACCTTTTTTAATTTTTAAAGAATATTTATATGTTTATATAAGTGTAATAGTTAAAAAAGGAGTAAGCAAATGAGTTTAAATATCTTTTTTGAATTTAGTTAACTTTAAGGCACATAAATAAAAGAAATTTCGTTTTTTGTTATGTATAATAAATAATAGTAAGTAGTAAGTAGTTGATTTCGATACTATCGATACTGTTACTTAGAACTTAAACTTTTTTATTTGGATTACAGCTTCTGCATTCACTTCGTGTCTTCGGAGATTTTGTGTGCAATTAGATGGCAGCAAACTGGCTCAAATGAAAGCCAGTGCAAATCAGTCATTGGCATTTTAAAGCTCTGCTAAGCACCGACAAATTGTATAAAAAGCCAAAAGAAATAATATGAATGCTGAATATCTGGATTGCATACCAAATTAGCTGCTTAAGTTGCCGATTTGGTAAACCAAACAGCGAACGTTGCCTCGAGAAATCTTTTTGCCTTATTTTTTGTTTTTTTTTTCTGAAGTGGGGCAGGTTAAGGGTCGTTCACAGCATATGTTGTCCCTATGTCCTGCTGCTGCTGCACAAGGCAAGCAAATCAGTATGCAGTCACAAATGTAGGAAACAAACTCGCTTACACACACACAAACACACGCACGCACACACACGAGCACACACTAGCCGGAAACAGTAGCTGAATTTGTTGCTTCCTGTTTGTTAAGCAACGCACGCCACAATAAACGTACAAACATAGAACAAAATATAGTAAAAAGAGAAATAAAACTAGAGAGCCAGAGAGAGAGAGAGAAAGCTTGTGTGTATGTGTGTCCTGGCCAAACGACATATGCAAGCTGTCACAGTTGTTTTAACAAATTGTTTGGGAAGCTTCTGCAGACTTTTTTTCAGTGGATTGGAAATTTGTTTTGACAATTTTTAAAAATCAGCGTACGATTTTATGTTGGTCCCAAGCAAAAATCGTTGCTTCCAATACAAAGTATATTTATCGAGCCATGTTATATGTCTGGGCTTGCTGAAAATGAAGACCAAGTTCAGAAATTGGATTTTGTGACTGCTGCTTCACAAGCTGCATACAAATTGCGTCTAAAAGACAGATATGCATTAGTTTTGCTAATTGTGTTTATTGAGAGCGTCTGGGTGGGCAATTTCGGATGTATACAGATTAAAGGGCGAGCTTTTAAAATTGATAGAAATGTGTTCAAATGTTTCGCATGAGCTATTTCAACCATGCTGGTTAGAAGACGACAGACCTCGAACTGGGTCTGCTTTTGAAACACAGTTTTATACTCTCGATTTGTTTTTAAACACTATTTTATAACCAGATATATAAATGTCTGATATAATGTTTTATATTTTTAACATTTAAAGATTAAATAAATTATAGTTGTGCACCAGATGAGATAACAATTTATGGCAAAAATCGGTTTGAACTGTTTAATTGAAGGCGTTACACATTTCGTCACAAGCTAATTGTTTACTAGGCTCCTGCATTTTTAAAAGTGTATACAGTTTGCAACAAGGTTTATGAGGTTTGTTTTTTTCTACAAACACTTTTCTATGCCATCTGAAGTTTGTTTAACCTGGCCAAACACTCCATTGCACAGCAAATCTGTTTAGTTTCGTATTGTTTTTTTGTGCTTTGTTTTTTCTTGCCATTTTGAAGTAATTTTTTGATATTTTCTACCCAATGTTAGTTCTCACTCTCTGGCCCAGTCGATGCACATTTTTTGCCGTGTTCGTCTGCAGCAATCAGGCATTTCGACTTACTTTTTTATGGCTTCGCCTCGTACACGTGTAATTTGTATTGCACTTTTTGTTGCTGTCCGGGGAGCCTATGGCAAAGGGGTGTGGGTGTGGTGGGTACTTGTTCCCGGGCTGTGGGCCTTGGGTAGTGGTTCCTACGGGTGGTGTCGCCTAGGGTTTGGTTTGGCTGTCGGTCGGTCGGTTTGTTGTGTTGGCTGCCCAGCGAATGTCGTGCACAAAACCAAAATAGATTTATGCTTGCGGCATTTTTAAGTGACAGCAAACGAGCAAATTTTCTGTAACGTCCCGCCTACCCGCCAGCCCAACTGGCCGCCTGCCACGCCCCCCAATTGTTGCCCACTGCCCGGTGACATGACAGCGCACGGACAACATGTGATGTGACTGACTGTCGCTTGTAATAAATCTTAAAAAGAACCGCACACTGATTTGAACTTTGTTTCACTTCTTTTTTTTTGTTTGCAATTTTTTGTCTGAGATTTCGCAAAACTGCGGCAACAGCTACAAGTGGCGCCTCAAATTGCAAACAGTCATCGACAGTGGACTCAAAGCAAAGTGCGGGACATCGGAAAATTATAGGAAAATAATATAATGCGGCCACCTTCAAATAGCCCAATAAATATTCAGACTAGCTTGAAATTAAGATTTATATTGTCTTCTGCTAAAATAGATTTTTGGAAATTGAGACAAAAGTGGACGTTAGCTTCGAATTGAGTAGATAGATTGCTATTAAAAAACAGAGTCAAAATAAATGGTTCCTCTACCAAAAGTATGTATTATATATACTGTTCAGTTCACGGGCCAAAATAAGCTGGGATCTTTGTTCGAGGTTATTACAAAATATAAATGCCAAGTTGCAGGTTTTTGTTTGCATAAAACACGAATGTACAAATTATTTCCATGGCAACAGAATATAAAAAAAGCAGTTTCGACAGAGCTCACTAATTTGTGATAAAATTCGTATACACGCAAAATTTTTTTCGACTTAATGTCAAGGCCGGCAGCTCTTACTTTTTATATATTTTGTTTCAATAGTAAGCCGGATTTTTTGAACTGTTTAAAACATCTGCGAATGGTTACGTCAAAACATATTTTATTTAATTTAAAGTCTGCCTAGTTATGCCGGTTCATTAGATTCATAGGGGCTTTATTTTTAAGAAGTTTCTAAGATATATTCTAATTCTAAGCACCATCGAATTCGCCAATTTCTGCCACTGTGCATGTTATGTGACCCGCTATCAGATCGAGTTTAATCCTCAACCGCGAAATGGAAATATGAGTTGCCCGGGACAACAGAACAAATAACACACAAGCACTTGCGTACTCAAACACCTATACAGTCACACACACTCACACACTTGCAGGACACAAGCGGATTCCATACAAATGTAGAAAGGTAGTTTTTAGCCATCAAACGATGTTGGTCAACACGTAACGAAAAATAAATTGAAAATCGTTGGACAAAGCCCAAACGCAATACATAAACTGTAAAACTGTGTTTAGTTTTTGCAAAATTTCTGCAATTTTTACAAATTGCACAATTTTTTACAATTCTGAATAGTTGTTTGTGCTAACAAAACTGTTAACGCTGCAAGTGCTTGGTAAATAGTCGTAAAAAAAAATCTGTTCAGTAGAACGTAAGAATCACTTTATCATTTTCCTGCTGGCAAACAGTCAAAGAGCAAAAGTGAAAAGCTAACCCGTAACCCCCGACACCCTGCAAAATTCCCCCATGGCAGCCATTATACTCACAGTCCACGCTGACTTTGATGCGCTTGGAAACCGTTGGGGGTACGCCATTGGATGCAATGCAGAGATAGGCGCCCATGTCCAGGCGTGAGATGCGGGTTATCTCCAGCGTGTCGCCCTCCCATTCATTCACTGCAACAAGAAAGAGAGAGCTCGTGAGAGAGAGAGAGAGAGAGAGAGAGAGAGAGAGAGAGGAATAGAGCAGCTAAATGATTGATGCAGGCGATGCGAATGCTTCTCTACTGTCCATTGCGTTTGCACTTACCTATGTGATTCTTATTGATGGCTATGCGCGAATTATCATCACGTTTCCATTTGATAATGGGTCGGGGACTGCCACTGGCCCGGCATCGCAGCGAAATGTTGGCGCCCTCGCGTACGATGACATCGCTGGAACTCAGCGAATCATCTATATTTGGTGGCACTGTTAGCATGTAGCATGTAGGTTTTAAAGATGAGAGAAATGTGATGAGTATTCGGGCAAAATAACAGCGAATTATTTATTAAAAACATGGCAGCCCTGCTTCATAGAGTTGTTGCTAACACTCAATTGTTATAGCCATAATCCGCTTAAATCGCAAACAATGCCCGGCCACATGCAACTGGTTATCATAAAACCCATTTAAGATTAAAGCGCCTACATTGCGTAATATACACATATATCGCATATAGCCACATTCATAATGCACACACATACATACATATACAACTGTTGGCACCCAAATACAATGGAACTGAGCCGAAAAAGCTGCGTATAGCGTCAGCTAAAATAGGTGATAAATTTCATTGTTTGTGAGTGTCAATTGTGAGTGTTTGCGTGTGTGTGTGTGTATGTGCAGCAGGATATTGCAATTGAAATGTTTTCAGTTTCAATTTTATCAGCTTTCAATATGCATTTCGTAATTATTTCAGTTATATTGTGCAATTGATCCCAGTGCACAAAATGTGCTATATTTCTGTTTATATTTACAACTCAGATGCTTAAATCGAAACTTACAGAAAATTTGGCAACAATTTTGAAGCATTTAATGAGACTGGCATTAAGGGCTATTTTTTTAATGTTTTTCTTGCATAAAACTGACCATTTTAATAATTTGTAATCAGTTTATCAAAGCCAACAGCATATATAAGTAGAATAGGAAAACCAGAAGATCGGGTGATATATAGCAGATTTGCAGACAAGCAGCCGTGCCTGTGGATGCCCAAGTCCTAAGATATTTATTTCGATGGGTTAAACATTTGATGGCAAAGTTCAAAAGTACAAATTTAACACCAGGCAATTATATGTCAAAATCTGAGCAACATTTAAATAAATAAAATGTAAAAAGCGCATTTTTATTATGATCTGATTCATTATGCGGCTGATGCAGATTAGTTGATTTCATTATTATTAAATTATTTTTTAAGCAATTAAATTTTAGTCTTTTTATTTTAATAAATTTTCATTTGAGGTGTGATTCAACATTAATAATTCACATTCAACTAAATTATGCGTTTCTGTTCAACTTTTTTATGCACAGCCATGCCTATAAAAATATTGTTCAATTTCCATATAAGTATCTGTCTGGTTTATTGGTTTTATGAATATGCAAATCAATGATGCTTTAATAATAATATTTTTTTCAGATCCAACTGACGAAGCATTATCAATTTTGATTAGAGCATGTTTTAAGCAAAGCGAGTGCCAATATTTTGACTAAAATCATTTTTGCACAACTTTTTTTAACTTTTTTGCTTTCTGCTATATTTTTTTTGCGCATAATTTTTTAATTAAAAATATGCGCTCCCTTTTGGCCAAATTTCGAATGCATTTTTAATAATTTGTTTTGTTTGCCAGCCAGGAAAATAATTTCGCCTGGCCGAAAGATTCACTGAACTGTATACTGGACACACACACACACGCACACACACACAAACACACACACGCACATACACAGACAAAATTTTGCTTTTGCTTTTGGCTTCTTCTGGTACCGAGTTCTGTTTCAGTATCCGTTCCCGTTGCCTTTGTTATTGTGTTTCTCTCGCTGTGCGCGCGCTTTAAGGCATATAAATTATTTTTTAATTCGCAGCGTATTTGTACAGGATTTTCGTGTGTTTTTTACGCCACGGCTGACGCCCACCTTTGGGGCATTTTGGCGCACTGGAGCCGATTCACTCTGGCTGTGCCGCGTGCTGATTAGATTTAACCACATTTTTTTTTAAGCTCCGTCTGCCCAACTTACCCACAACATTCAGATAGCCGAACTGGGTTTTGGCCGTCACCGTATTGATCTGGCACATGTATCTCCCCTTGTCCTCCTCGTGCACATTATTGATGTGCAGGTACCAGGTGCGATGTCTGTCGTGCTTGTCGTGCGTGACACTGATGCGTGGATTGCGCGTGATCACGTGATTGTGCACGGTGAGTATGGCTGATTGTTCAAAGTGCATCCAAGCGACCTGAAAAAAAAAACAGATTGTTGAAGGGAGAGGATTATAAATATATAAAAATAACTGACTCTTCGGCCGAAGGTTTAACAACACGAAAAATCTATCGAGAGTTAAGTTTATATAAAATAAAATAAGCACCAATATTAATATTTTTTTATGTATCCCACATTTCTTTGAATATTTTGGAATTGTTAAGGAGCTTATACTAGTTCACTCCTAAAACTAATTCTTCCCAAAGAGTAAAACCGTGTTCATAAGTTTTTTAATCGAACAAATGTAATTAAGACACTTCGAAATATTTCTTGCGGAGGTTGGGTTTGCAAATTGGGAAATTAGGAAAATTTCGGCGACATTTTTAATGTAAATATAATAATTAATAATTTAAGCCGGTAGTGTTTTAAAAAGTATTTTTTATCTTTAGAAAAAAAAAAGGTGTAAATATCAAAAAAAAAATGATATCAAGTATAATCAGAATAATTTTCTTATAATTGGCTGCAATATTTACAAGATAAAAATGTTAAGCCAAATATTTTGGTTCATACTTCTAAGAAAAGACCTATAAATGTAAAGGGGTGAGCCAAAAAAAAAAAAATGCTTTACATTCATTATTCAAATTAACGCTTCTTTGGAAAACTTCTATAAAACTGAGAAATAAAGCGAAACGAAGCTGAAAGAGCGGGAGACTCAAACAAAAACAAGTCGTTTCGTCCTTTCATGGCCCATTAGCATTTTTATACACTGCCGTCAACGGGATTTGGGAAATATTGGAATTGAAGACGGCTAAGTCTTCCTGCCCGAATAATTTTTTTTTCTAGCGGAGTGCAACATTCATGTTTAGTCTGTAATATACTCAGTTGAAAAGTTCACTCGTGAATTTCCTTTCCTACACGCTTTTAAAAGCAAGAAACGGACCTGTTTTTTAATCTGTAATACCAAAAATTATAATTTGTGCCATGTGATTCTCTGAAGAGAGAAACGACCTTGACTCGTCTACAATTGAGGAGAAAAGCCACATAATCCTTTTATAAGTTTTTTTTTCCAAAACAGAGAATCTAACAGTCGTGTACTTTCGACTGCCAGATTTTAACTTGTTTTTCTTGCGGTTCGGTAAGTAAAAAATGGAATAGAAAAAAAGCGAAATGATTTATTAATTAAGCAGCTTGTGAGAAATCAGCGTGTAATGAGCGATAATGATTTGATTACTCGACAAAAAGGGAAAAAGAAAACTGATTAATGCAATTAGATAAAAAAGGGATAAAAGGAAGAAGCAAGGCAAGTGCAAAGCAAAGTTGATTGAATAAATGCAGCGAAGATGACAGTAAAAGTCAACTAATTAGAAGCTTACATTGCGCATACGCCACGTAAAACCAAAAAGCAAATCAGTAGTTTAAGCAGACGATGCCTTTCGATAGATGTTCACGGCAAATGCAAAGATCAAGAGCTGGCCAGGCTTAGACACATCATTACCATGGGAAATGGAGAACACGGTCATGAATATCAAAAGCACTTGAATTGCTGCAGCGACGCCTTAGAGCATCATTACCAAGCACTCAAAAAGCTGGCTCAAGTAGCTAAGCCCAAGTCAGCCTCACGGACTGGCTGACTGGCTGACTGACTGACAGTGGGTGAGTGTGGGAGAGGTAAACCTGGCTGTGCCACCTGATATCTTGGCTGTATTTTTTGGCTTGCCATATCCAGGAAATAGAATCAAATTGAGGTGTAAATGCGAGCAACAAGAAAACGAGAGCTGACGACGACACAAGAAACGTGCAGCGCATGAAGTAAATAAAATGGCCAAATTGAAGATGGGGCTGCAGTGGGGTGAGCGTAGAACAGGTACCAAAAAGCGTAGACCGACTCGTTTTAGCTGACGGCATGTCTAAGTAGCTGTGTCTGTGCGAGTCAGTGGGACGCAGCCCCAAAAGCCAACCCCCACCCGCCCACTTACCAATGACAGCCAGCTTCTCGGTTACATGTATTGCATGCGTGTAATTCATAGCTATCATAGTACACACACCCGCACACCCGCACACACTCGCACCGCAACGCACATGAAACCGGTCGAGTTTATTTTTATATGCGACACTATGATGCAATTTTCTCGCTTCCGCTTTTTGCCAGCGCTTCTGGGTTTTTTACATTTTTTTTTTTTGGTTTTTTGTACCTACTTTTCCTTTTTGTGATGCTGAGCTGTGAAATTGCAGTCGTGTACGTGTGCACATTGCGGGGTAAAGTAGGAGTTAACCCTTATAGGAGCAAGTATATCTAGTTGCATGCCGTTAGATGTTATTAAATAGTTTTTAAAGGGGCGAACGAGGAAACAACCACTAAATGCGTTTATGCACGCTGCACAGGTGTGTAAAAATTTGCTTAGCACTTCGTTAAGGGAGATTCTGAAGCATATATTGGAAAAGTGGAATAGAGTGGACACGCAGTCGAAATTGGTATGGATTTAAATGTCATTTAGCTGGGGTTCACAGCTACGGGAACTCGAAGTCGTGCATGCTCGACTATAAATATCTTGTTATTTCCTTTAACCTATTTATTATTTTTAATTTATTTTTTAAAATATAAATATAAATATATTCCATATACAAATAAAATTTGCAAAACCAATTGATTTGCTATGACATAAAAATATCTGTCTTTTAACTCACCTTGTATGAGCCAAGATTTTTAACCGAGCAACCCAATTTGACATTTCGTCCAGCAGGTACAGTTACATTTTCGATGTATTCAGTAAATTCGGGTTCTTCAACAACAGCTGCAAAATAAACATAATTTATTTATTATAGTTTTGTCAATAATTCGTGTGTATTTGTTTGCATCTATTATTTTATAATTGTTGAGATTAGGTTTATATAAATCAAATTCAATCAGCTGCATTAAATGAATTGTTGAAAAATTGGTGCATCATGAAATAAACAAATTTTACTGAATCGAAAGTGGGAATAAATAACAAACAGGCTGAAATATTTACAAGAAAAATTAAACATATGTTAACACAAACACACACACACACACACACTCGCTTTATTTGCTTTAAATATCACCAAGTTAAACATTTTCACGCTTCGAGTTTTTCGCATTTCATTTTGAGTTTTCCTCGCGGCTCTCATTAAATTATTAACGAATATACAATATCTTTTTTTTTTAACGCATCAAATTGCGGCGACCAAAAATCTTGTCAGAAATGATTTTCAATTTAAGAGCGAATAAATATGTTAATGAAAAATTATTTCCGATAAGCCGAAGCTTAAATTCACTTTCATAAAAAGTTCCATTATTCACGATTTTTTATTCAAGCTTTCAGAACTATGTTTAACTTAAGCTGGGATCGCAAATAAAACAATTTTTTATAGAATCAATTGAACTTTATCCGATCCAAAACTGTATCTGTAACAGTTCGAAGACTCTTCAATGAAGCTTAAAAAGAATACTCGTAGTTTACATGGCAACAGTGGACAAGGCAATAGCAATATAATTGCACTCCCAAAAGGATATTATATCCTCCAGACACACAAATGGGTTGCCCGCAATAAAGTTCAAATATATTTCTCTGCATTGGCTACTGTGTGCGCTTTATGAATAAGTATCTTGTACTTTTGCTTGCTTTCGTCTTGATTGCGTAATGAAATAAAATTGCCAGTGAAAACATTTGTCAGAGTTATGTACGTTTGCTTAATTGAATTCAATTGCTTTGAGCCGTTGCAATTAAATTAACTTGCTATTAAATCACATGGCCAAAAGGCTTCAATTCAAATTGAAGGTAAAGAAATGAGTTTATAAATGGTTCAAATTGGAGAATATACCTGCAAGCTGAGGCGGCAGCTTGACCAACTCTTGCCTATGGAATAACTAAACTTAATTCATAATTATATCAGTTTTCAGACGTTCGACCTAAGTTCGGATTGGTCCTTATAATAGTATATAGCTTGTATCTTGTATTGATTCCTATATAATAAGTGCCTCGCTCTAATAACTTTTATCGAATTGTTCAACATGTATAATATAAATAGTTATATATATGTTAATGAAATAATATTCGATTGACATTTGTATAGAATGTTGGGAGTTCAATATAATTTGCAGCGCCCACAAGTATGCAACAGTTTTGGGGCCCTGTTCTAGCCTAATTAGCTATTTATAATGCCTGGCAGCCACAAGCACATAATACACACTCACACGCTAGCCCGTATATGTGCAATATGGCAGAATGCACAAGGCAAAAGTCAATACAATTTGGTTAGCGCTGCCAATACAACTGCCCCCAGGGCTCTTTCCACACACACACACACACACACACACCCGAGCACAGCCAGCTGGCATTTGACATATGACATTCGACGCGCCCACTACATGCATCGACCCATCTAATTATGAAACAGCAGCAAGGGGAGAGGAAAAGTCGCATAAATTAGCAGCACTCAAGGCAAATATAACCATGACATTCATTCCGCCTTTTTTCCATTCTATGCCTCATGCACTTGAATTGAAAGACAAAAAACAAAAAAAAAGAAACAAGAAAACAAACAACAAACGGCACAATAGTAAAATAGAAAAAAAAAAAGAAGGAAAACTGCTGCTGCAACTCGAGCGTGCAACCTTTTTGCAGCAGCGTCAAATTCTCTGCATAATCATGGGATTTCATCCAGCTGCAATTTTCGCGCCAGAGAGCGTGTCTGCATATAAATTTTGTGAGGGCCTCGACCGCCATCAACTCCCACAAAACATCCACTAGCCCCTCCACGCACTTGTTCAACTACAGCACCTACTCCCCAAACAGGGGCGAGACCCAGAGCAGAGTTAGGCGACACGCAGATGACCTGTTATATTTATTTTTTTAAATTAAATAGGATTTAAAAGTTTAATAACATTATGAATTCAACAGAGGGCAAGCCTCCTTAAAGTATTTGATTTAAAGTTATTTGAAGTTTGGTTAAGATTCGCCTGAAGAAAAGTAAATATTTTCAGAATATTATATTTCGATATCTGAAGGACTAAAATTTTATTCGAAATATATTTATTGTGGTATTCCATTCTTGCCATTTTTTTGGATTAAATTAAAAAATAAACTAAACGCTTATTAAAATCTACCTAGTTGAGATACCAATAATAATATTATTATTAAACAATCAGATGCGATGGTAAGATAATAATGTTCAATAATTTTATTAAATTGAATTACCACCAAACAAATAATATAAATAAATAAAACTTTTATCCTCACATTAGATTCAACTATAAATTTGTAAGACAAGAAATAAGGAACTAACAAATATTAAAAGATAGTCTAAAAAGATTTTATAGAGAGTTCCCCTACAACCCGTCAAAACTATTCCATTTATACAGTTGTACAACATAATATACCCAATTTCATGTCTGGTATTGTAAAAAAAGTTGGCAATGATATTGGCCAGCAGCAGTTGATGGGCTTGTCAGAGTAGGGGTGTGGGAGCTGCAGTGGTTATGGGTGCAGAAACAGAAGGGAGTGGGAGCGGAAGCTGGGAGCTGGGGATGTGGTTGATGTTGCCTGTTGCGACGTAAATTGCGTTGCCTGAATGAATTTTGCGCACAGTTAAGCGACATTTGTGTTGTTTTTGTTGTTTGCTTCTCGCGTGACTCCAACTGCACCTGAGAACAATGACAGCCGGCATGGGCGTCAATATTTGTGTGTATGGGGGTACGTCGGAGAGGCCCACAATTGCTGGTACTCGCTGTGGGTGCTCCGAGCCCTGTCACCAATATTCTTTTTTCACGCCGCGTATCTGTGCAGCTGCTAGCTTTCAATTTTTGGCATATAGCCCTGTGTATCACTTATGACCCGCGGCTGCATTTTATCCCTCTCGGTATCTCTGTATTTCTATCTGTCTCCCTGTCAGTGTGTAAATATGATTGCCCGAGGTCAGCCGTCTACGAGCCGAGTGTTATTGATGGCATCAGACACTGGTGTCAGCCCAACGGGCAAACCGGGCATAAAGATAACCAAGATAAGTACCCCACTTACACTGTGCAGCAAATGACAATATCACAAGAAATGTGGCTGCTCCGAAAAGAACCCTATGGTTAGGCAATACTCTGTACGGCTTATACAATTCTCTCTGTAACGGATTTCTTTTTGAACTTAAATTATAATTTATTAAAAGTATTTAACTATCTTCATTAAAAAAAACAATCACGAGATATGTTCGTCTAACTGATTGAGGACTAACATTTACTTGACATCTAGGTTCTTATTAAAAATATTAAAATTGTTTTTCATCATTTTCATCATTTTATTTCTGATTTAATAAACTTAGGCTCTGCTCACGTAACTATGATCTTTCTAATAATTTAACTACACAATTATTAAATAGACAGTTAAAAAGTTTAAATATTTCCGTTTAAACTATAAGTGAAAACTAGGCAGAAACATTTTATTTCTTGTATATTTGTAATTTAGCAATTTCTACACAATTTTTTCTCCCGACTTTGAGAAATATATGTGATATATATAATTTGATCTGATCGATTCCAAAACATTTATTTATATTTCAATAAGCCAGGCTGGACAAAGGTAAGTTCAAGCCTTAAGACTATTCTACTATTTATTTAAAGCAGACAGACAGATAGGCTTGGGTTTTAATACTGCTTAAGAATATAATTTCAAGAATATATTTGGAACGGATGTGTCTCTTCGATGCGTATTACTTGTGTTAAAATTCTTTCAAATATCTCTAAATAAATACCTCAAATCTCTCTAAACTATTTCCTATAGAATCAACAGTATTATTATTGAGATTAATTTTATAATTGAGTATGTTTTCCCCACAAATTACCTACTTAAAATCTGAAAACAATGTAAATAAATATTTGCAAATTGTATAATTATTAAATTTGTAATCTGAAATAACGCGTTTTGTGGGCAGCTCTACTTACTATTTAAATTCGATGTTGGCACATTGGGCATACCGCCGGCGACAATTACACCATTGCTGCTTAGAACGGTGTTGCCATTGGCGGTGGCGCCACCGCTGCCAGTTGCGGGTGCCGCTGATTTGCTGCCACTGAGATGCTTGCTGCTGGCGCCGTAGGCGCCGCTGCCGCCGCCGACGCTGCCGTTGAGTATCTGCGGCAAGATGATCTTGTTGGTGGAGTCCCCCGCTGTTGCCGTGAGCACTAGGAGGGCCCCAATTAGATGCCAAGACGGCAGCAACATCAACTTGCCGTTGCCTTGCCACTTTCCCCAGCCAGGAGCACCAACGTTGGCCTCGTGGCCTGGCTTAAGTGCATCTCTCCACGCGAGTCCCCGCGAGCGACCTTACTTAGCCCTGCTCCACTCTCGGCTATCAAATTTGCCTGCGGCTCGATTAAATATTGTTTGTGCGTTGCTTTTTGTTTGCTTAGCTTCTTAACACGGTTTAATTTTCTTTGACCACAACAGCTGTAAGGCTCATTTGGCTTGTGATATTTTTCAAATTATAAAAGTGTACTTCAACCTAAGTGCAATGTATTTTTATGTTTGAATATTCTTATATTTTTGAAAAGTGAACGAGTTTCAACTAAGAAATATAAACTTATTAGTTTATTTAACTTAAACAATTAGATTTGCTTCTAATACTTTTTTGTACACATCGAGTAACAAATAAATTCAAATGTTGTTTTCCTAGACCGGAGTCAAGTCTCTTGAAAGTTTTCGCTAGACTTTTTTTTCCTGATGAACTTCATAAACTGCAGGCACTTAATGCCTAATCTACTTATCACTTCTGTCACACGCTCATCAATTAGAAAATAGCCGCTTAAAAAACAAATTAAGCTCAACAATTAAATTTTAATTTGCAGCCGTATAAAAACGAGCCGAGCAGAATTTATTAATTTAATTACAAACACTTTGGCGAACTCATAAAAAGAGCATAAAATTTGTTATTTCCACTTTTTTGTTGCTGTTTGTAAATCTGTTTTTGTCTATGCCAAAACGTCATCATGTGTGTGTCGGGGTGGGTCGGAGCGGGGCGAGTGCGAGGTTTGTAGAAAATTGCTTGATTTCATAAGCGAGTCATAAGGGAAAAAGTTTTGTGCGTGTACCGCAAGCTGTGGACCCACACCGCCCACAGCTCCCAGCCCGTTCTCATTCTGTGCATCCATGAAAAAAAAGCGACACGCTTAAAAGCCATAAAAAAGTATGGATGCTCTAGAGAAAGTTTTTCTATATTTCTTGTATTCTGCTTAATATGTATAAATTTTGTTGTTCGAAATTTGAGCAGATCGCCAGCAACACGCACGACACATAAAATGTTTCATATATTTTTGTTGAACGCAGATAAAGTTATGCGGCGGAGGCAACTTAATAACTGACGACGTTGACAAAGTTAACCGAAACCCACTGAAAACTTAAGATAAACGTAAATGAAAACAGCTTTTAAATTAATTGCCTGACATTTTGCATACGAGTTGACAATATTTCTGTCCCGTTCTCTTGCGCTCTCTATCCTTCCTCTGTTGCACCTGTTACTACCAAGGAAATGTAGTCGTGAGTTTTAAATTAATGACAGAAAAAATATAACATGGCATAATTCCAATGGCCTTGTTCAGCAAGTATGCATGGAAATGCAAAACGGACAGAGTGAGAGGGTTCACAATAATTCCTTTTGAGTTTGTTAATTTAAAAAGTGTAATACTAATGAAGATTGTTTAATAAAACGTTGTAAAATAAACAGGCGTTATAAGGTGGGAGCTACTATATGAACTACTTTACAGAACATTCATTATTCCTTTTAAGATGTTAAGTAAATCTGCTACAAGAGGTATATGTATATGAATTACTTTACTTTTTCAAAGATCAATAGTTGTAACCATATTTTATATATACCTTTTACTGCCTAATATGATTTACTCCACACATACTATTTTAGTTGCAATAAAAATTCCCTTTTTTACCGTCAAATTTCAATTTGTTTGTTCTTTAACTGTATTTGTGAATATACGAATTAGGTACTGCTCCCATTTCGCGGCAGAGTTGGGCAACTATTTGCCACTGCTGCTGACTTTTGTTCTTATCTAAAAAGTAGAACAGCATTTTTATCTGCGCGCATATCCCAAAAGAAAGTCGCACACCTTTCGCCCAGATAAACCAGACCATATATCAATTGGCCGCCAGAGGGCGCTGCAGCCATTGCAAACAAACTCAGAGGGAAATCTTTATGACTTTTTGAGTTTCGGTCTGGCGAAAGGGTTTTCTTTCTCTCTCACTTTTTCCAAATGGCTGAAACTTTTGTACGGCACGTGCAGCAGCTATTGCAAAATGGGCGTGGCATCCAGAATATGGCGGCTTAGTCGGGCATAATATTTTGCCAAACTTTATTGAATTCCCAGTCAAATCTGCGTGGCATCTGTGAGGTTAGCCCGGGCCCGGAAGGGAAACTGAACGCACAAGTTGCTAGACAGCAAACAATTGACAGGGTACAGCAGGGCGTAGGAGAGGCTAGGGGGTTCTGTAAAGCAGAGTGCAGTGCATTGAAAGCAAATTTATGGACGCCAAAGTCATATGGAAAACTCGAGAATTAAGCAATTTCTGCGTGCATACTTTCTGGCTTTTTGCGTTGCTCTACTATCTTCTTTTTTTAGGCTAAACAAATGGAAAACTTGTTATTAGGATATGCCAGGGTGTGGTAAAGAGATAAAAACAAATCCTGGCTGGAACGAAAAAAATGGAGCTAAAAGTGAATTAGTCAATGCGGCAAAAGCAAACATGGACACTACAGTGGAGGATGTCAGAAGTCGGGTTGAAAGCATTACAAGGATACACATTCGTGAGTTGTTTGCCTTTAAAACTATATAATTTATTATAGCCTTTCCTTTTACCTCTTCTAAGTTTTGAGTAAAGCTTGTTATTTATAAATTAAATTATATATGTGCAAACAATTTTCTTTTACTCTTCTTGCTTTAAGTGTCTCTACGATGTATGCAAATAAAATGTCGTTTAATTTTTTTACAACGCTATTAAAACATTTTCAAATTCACATCTGAAATAAGCGACAGAGAAAAAGACAGTCTAATAAACATTGCTCAACCACAAGTCGCCCCTTTTCCCTTCACTCAACTCACTTTGATATTAAATTTAAATAAATTTACTTATGCATTCTCATTTCGGTAACAAAAACTTCATGCATGTACGTTTTCCTCGAATAGAATAATTTTTTTTGAAGACTTTAACAACCTGTTATTAGTTCACTTATAAATTTAAACCAGTGCAGCATCAAAAAATATTTATGTGTGCATAAATAAAACCCCATTATGCCATTATTTTTCAAACGGGCAAATAATTTAAAAACTATAATAATTTATAGTTGAAAAACTTTGTTGACTTAAGTGCGTTTTTTATATTGTATGCTCTTATCCTCATTTTCACTATAAGCATAGTGAAAGATAATCAAATTAATATGCAAAGAAATAAAAAAAAAGGCCAAATATTTTAACAAATAGTTGTATAAATATGTGTTTTATTGCCTTAGACATCGTCTCTATGAAATCGAGTCCCATAAAACAAATTGATTTAATTAGACACCTTTGCCGAATGACATCCTCTCGTAATATATCGTTATGAAAGGACATTCCAACAAACTGCCAGTGTGAGTTTTTTCGATGCTCATCAGAAATCCAAGGCAGAATGAAATCAATGCCAGGACAGAGCCCAGCTTCAAATGGAAATAAAATACAGTCATACGAGTACATGTACACATTTCCTACTGTGGACTGGACAAAGCCAGACATGTGACCAATTAGCGCCAAAATACTGAAGGACAATTCGAGGCATAGGGCTGGGCAGAGGCTGCGTTTGCCAGTCGGCAAGTTCTCAGGACCAAAAAGTAGGTTCTGAGTGCAAACAGAAAGCGAATGCCGCATTGGCAGCCATTAGCTATTAGTTAGGCATTCTAGGCACACGTTTTAATTTCAGAATTTTTTGCTTCTCTTTTCTCAAGCCTAATTAAAAGCATGTGTGTCGCACACGAGACAGAAATAGAGAAAGGGAGACAAGCATGAGCATATTTAGAGTTGAATAACATTTATTTTCTCTCGCACAAAACGTCATGGATATTTTGTATTTTGTGGAGCTTCCTCAGTGGCACCCAGAAAACAAACAGAAATTGTTTAAATTGTAAACAACAGCAGAATAAAAAGAAAACAAAATATAATAAATATAATAATAATAAGCTAGGGCAGCTGTGGTCCTCGCTTGACGTGCCAAATCACCAGCCCCAGCGCATTCACCCTCTGGCCTTTATTTATTTTTGTTTTGCGGCCTAAGCTACAGTCGCTAAATGCTGACAGCTTTTGGCTTTCAACGCTGCGACATTTGCTGCGGGTAATGGTAACTGTCGGTTAAAGAGGGGCGGCTCTTAGGGGCGGGGCTTAGAACGGGGCGCATTGTTGCCCTGCCATGTTTACAATGAAAAGCCGCCGACCAACAAATTAGCATATGCTTAAGTGGGTTCTACTTTAATATGGCATCAAACTGAAGTTTCAGGTGTCTGGAATGTTTTCTATTTTTTTTTTTGAAAGTGTTTACAATTAAATTGTGGGAGAGAGAGAGAAACTAACGATAAATAAGTTGAAGAGAGAGATGGCAAGGTCAGCAAAAAAAGATCCCTCCTTGGGAGAGCGAGAAAATGGATAGAGAAAGGGGTATAAGAGAGAGTGAGAGAAAGAAAAATAGAGAGACTGTTGAATTGAGGAGAATATGAACAATAGAGGATACAAAGAGAGAATAATGGAGGGAGAGAGAGACAGATGAATAAAAAATATACGAGGGAATGGAACTGGGGATCAGTTAAAGAGAAAGGATGAGACAAACCGAAAATACGAGAAAAATAGAAAAATTAAGGATTTAAAAGAGAGAGAAAGAGAGAGTGAGAGAGCTAACACACAACTAGTTTATAGCAGCACTCAAAGGAAACAAATTCAAATAAATTTAAAAAAAAAAAAATAAATAAAATGATATAAAATAAATACATATAAAATATATGTATTTCAAGTAATAATGCTATATATGCTTTAGACGAAAATACTTTTCCTAAGCCCAGATTTTACCGCAAATTCTATTTATCTTACTCAAGCCCAAACTGATCCGGAAACTCACTGTAGACAGGCTAGACAAATTGCTGGCAATTTGTAGTTGGTAACAGCAAGGAGCTCAATAGCATCAAAGCCAATGTTACAGATATAGCCTACAGATACAGCTACAGAGATACAGATACAAAATACAAATAAATACAGTTATTTTGCTCCATTGAGTTGCATCAATAACTTTTCACTTGTGCCTCACAATTTGTCGCACTGCGTGGTGGCAATTTAAAAGGCCAACTCGTCCCACCGCACCAACCTCCGGCTATGCCCTGCCTCAGCTGGAAATCCAGTCCTTGGCGGAGCGGGTCCCATCATCATCATCAATGGCAATGGCAATGGGAATTGGAACGGGAACGGGAATGGCAGCCAATGGCATCATATTTTTGCAATTTGTTTGCCTTGCTCTGCGCAATTTGTAAATTTGTTACGCCAAACGATAAACAAAAGAGACGCAAAAACTAAAGCGCAGCAGGCAAAAGTCCAAATACCAAAGAGAAAACAATAAGCTGCAATGACGCTGGCTGAATAAAAAAAACTTTTTTCGGTAGCGCCATCTGCCATTGATCTGCATTGATGCCAGCAAGCACGCATACGCACGCAAAGAGCGAGAGAAAGGGAGAGAGAGAGAGAGAGAGAGAGAGAGAGAGAGAGAGAGAGAGAGAGAGAGAGAGAGAGAGAGAGAGAGAGAGAGGGAGTGGGGGGCAAGCGAGACAGTCATATTATGTATGCAGTTTTCAAGCTGTTTCCTGCAGACTGGCACTCTCTCTGTATGTGTGTGTGTGCCTTTCTCTCTCCTCCTCTCTGAGTTTGTGTTGGGTTAATGTATTTTTAAGCTAAATTCTTTGTTTATATTTGCTTTGCTGTTTTCGTTGGTGTTTTGCTCGTTGCCGTTGCAACAACACCAACTAGGATTCCAATCTCAAAACCCTCTCTCCCTCTCTCTCGCTCTCTTTCAATCCTATGCTCCGAGTCAAGCCCCCATTTAACTTTGGTTTATTCATTTAGACATACGCCCATAAGATTGTCTCAAGTTTTTGGCATTCAGCCTTTTAAGTTCTCTGATGACATGAGTGTTTTTGTGGTTCCTCTTATTGTTGTTTTTGATGTCTTGCTGTTCTGGTTGTTCTTGTTGCTGTTTGCTTTTATTGCATGAAATGTGCATTAGCTGAGAGAACTGTTAATTGTTTGCACATGTTAAGTGCTTAACATAGGCGAAGAACTAGTTACATTCAAGTGTTGACATAAGTCAGTTTAGTGCTCTGCTTAAAAGTAATTTAAGATTTTGATTCAAGAATTTAAATATAAATATTTACATAATGATCGTGGACCAATACTTATTCTATTTTGCTTTGCTTGCAACTTATTTAATTGCACTTCAAATTTAACAACTATTTTTGGCTTTCTATAAATATATCAAATACCGTTCTTTTCTTTATGTCAACTTATATATTTTTCAAAATATTTACTGAAGTGTTTTTTTTTTTAAGATTGCAAATAACATCAGAAATTCAAAAATTGCATTTATTCTTAATCATTTGTATTTTTTATTAACTAACTGTTATGTTATTTGCCTAACTATACTTTCTGGGTATGAGGCCTAACTTATAAAATTTCTAAATTTGTTAAATCTATTATTTTGTTCTAAAAAATCGACTTTTATTTGTCTACTCAAACTGATTAAAGTATCCATAAAATATCTCAACTTAAATGCAAAATTATTTATATATATTTATATTTATATTTTCATAATATTTGAAACCTTCTAAAATAGTATTTTTTCTATCATTTTAGCCAGTTCTTCAAAGTCTTAAACCCAACAGAATGCACTTTCACAACACTTTATTTATATTTCGAAAACGCTCTCAAAAAAGTCAACGTTAGTTTTCGAAACACGACATTTCGTTAGAAGATCCTCCGGCTTGTGAATGCGACCAACAACTCAACGCGTCCGCTTCGTGCAGAATCCGTAGCGAAACTGATTCGTCGACTGGCGCCATACGCACACAGCACAGAGCCGGCTGGCTCCAACAACAACAACAACAACAACAACAACAAGGACAACAACAGCATTGAGAAGAAAATGGCAAAAGCAACGCCAACGGCAAAAAGAATAACTGACGAATGAAATAAAAAAAGAAAAATCCTAACGCTATGGCAAACGAATGATAACAGGCCAAAAGCCGAGCGGCAAGCACGAACTATCTTCGGCTGGCGCCAAGCATCGTGTAGGATGCTGTTCGTTGTGGGTTGTGTTATTTTTGTTATTGTTGTGATAGCCGGCATGCTTGTCGGTTGGCTTGTAGTCTGCGTGCAACCACAACCGCAACAACAGACCGCAAAACACGCGACAAAAATGTTAACAGAGCTTCCAACCGTAACATGCCGCCCGCAACAGCCCACCAACACGAACACCAACACCAACAAACAACATACCCTTGCCATTTACATGGCACGTAAATGACTTCCGGACTGTTGAGCACTGACGCTGTCAAGGGTTTGAGTTGTGTTTGGGCTTGGTTTGCGTCGAACCCAAGCGCGAACCGACTTGCAACAAGTTGACAAGTTCTGTTCTCTGTTCTGTTGAGGTTGAGGCATTCGCCAATGCGTATTCGGCTTAATTAAATGAATGCACATTAAAAAATAGAACAGCAAACAGAAATCAAAACAAGTTTGTGTGATTCTGCGACGCTGCTTATTATATATTTAATTAAGCAAGTTAATTAATTTCATTTAAATGCATTTCATTTGATATGTGCGTGTGTGTGGCCAACTGTAAAGTAAATTTAATATGCACTTCGTGTGTCAACTAATATGAAAATTGCTTTTTTTGTACTCTGCCAACTTAATTTACTCACACTTAATTTAATTACGCAATTGTGTTGTATTGAAACTATTCAATGTTAAAAACTATTTTGTTGAGCTAAGCCACAAACAACAATAAATTTTGTTTCGAAATGAATCGTATGTACTTAATAAAATGTTTTCAAGTATATTAAAAAGTCGTATCTAAAAATGTCCTTATGTATCTATTATTTTATATTTTTTAGTTGAATTACTAATGTTTTTAATTTATTGCAAATATTTAAATTCTTTAAGAAGCAACTCTCACTAAACTTACTAACTTATAACATATATCATAAATTTATATGTAAGTCAATTTCTATATATATATTTCAAAATTAGCAGCTATATCCATCTGTAGTTATATCTACTTTCATATTGATTTATTGAATATATATATCGAAACATTAAACCTACATTATAATATGATTGACTACATTTTTTTAGTTCCCAGTTGAAAGCTTTTCCAGTTGCAAAAGATCTTAACGTGTGCTTCTCGAGTCCATTTCCAACTGTTCCTTAAGACTAGCAACTCCTCAGACAGATGCCAGCTGGTAAAATATCAACAACCAGACGAACAACAGAAAAGAACAACAACAACAGCAAGAGGAATTCCTCCCAGTTGGACGAACTAACTAACAAGCTTAATGAACTCTTTCAAATCAGAGGCATCGCTCAATGCCAGCAACATTAAAACTGACAAGGCTAGACACACGCGGCAAGATGGTCTCTAGGGGCAGGGGCGGAGGCGAAAGCGGGGGCGGGGGCGGTGAGTAGGGGGCACGCCAGTCGACCAGGACAGTACGTGCCAATACCAACAACAACAACATCAACAGCAACAGCAACAACAAGAACCTCAGACGCCACTTGGCATGTTCATTATGTAAGGCGCTTGCCCAAGGGACATGGTGTGGTAGGGGAGCTGTCCCTCTTGTGTGGGCGTGGCCGACTGTTGCGCCGCGAACAGCAGATTGTGCGTGTGTATGTGTGTGTGTGTGCAGCATGTGGCGCGACGCAGAGGCCGCAAAGGTCGTTGCAACACATTTTGTTGTTGTGACGCCAAAAGTCAAGTGTGTAGTGGGGCGGGGAATGTCGGGCAGGTCCTTTGCCGGCCATTACAACACTTTGTTGGCTGCTTTGTAAAGTTGTTGGCCCTGGCAAAAAGTTTCTTTATTTTTTTCTCATTTTGTTTTTTTTTTTTTGCCGCCTCTTTGTATTTTTCACGCCGTGTCGAAAGTTTTCCTTCCCGCATTTGTTGTTGTTGTTGATTTTTTCTCGACAATGAAATTTTTGACTGCTGATTGTTTGGTGTTCAATGTTATTCTTCCGGTTCAGTCGTGTTATTTCTGTTGCTGTTCCAGACTTAAAGCAGACGGCGCAGTGAAAAAACAGCTAAGAACATTTCTATAAACGTACTTAAAAAAAAAAGAAAAAGAAAAGCTTGCAGCAAATTGAAAATGGAAAGTTTTTGTTTTGCAGTGGCGCCTCGACTTTTGCAACTTTATATAACTAAACATTTTTTTAAAATTTTTTTTTACCAACTATCTCTGTTCCTCTTGTGCTGCTGCTGCTGCTTGTCTTAAGTATGCGTCTAGTCGCAGGTCTCAGCAAATGAGGTAAAATAGTTTGGGGAATCGTATTGTACGAGCTGGAAAAACTTTTGCTCAGCGATATAAAGATTTATGCGGCAGATATTCAAGTTACTTGGCAACTGAAGAAAGAAAAAACAGCACGTGATTCCTCAGGTGCCCTCAAGTTAAAATTAAGTAAAGGAAAGCAAAATGTGAAAACTGATGTATGGCACTTCCTTTTCAAAATGTGGATTTTAGCATTAGGTAAATGTCTTTAAGCTATTGATGCATGCAAAAGTATTTAGTTATTTTATGTGAAGTATGTGATTTAATCTGTAAAAGCTCCTAACTAGACTAAGATTTATGGTTCAACATAACATATTTTGTTTTGAGAAGCTGTGTAAAGCTAAAAGTCCAGAAAGTCATTTATAATTTTTTAGCTGGTCTTTAAATATGTAGAAAATTATGAATTAAGAATTATTAGTCCAGATGTTGGCACCAGTTTTAAATTCTAATTATTTGCAATTACAACAATGTGTAGGAAATAAAAAAGTTTGTAAAACAATCTTTATAGTCAAATTATTAGGTTTATCCTTTCTTATGAAAATAAAAGAAAAAAACACGCAGTTTTAAATGCCTAACTGCCACATGATAGTAGGTACTATAAGCATGTGGAATGCAAATAAGTATATTTCTTAATGCCAAAAGTTGCAAATTGTTTATTCTTTACAAAGTTGAAATTGCTTTGGGGAACAAATCGAATCGCTCATCGGCAAATAGAACCAAATATTTGCTTCAACAAGCTGCCATAAATAATTCCACACTCAAAATATGCATTTAGCGTCGCTGTTCGCATCACCAGCTTCCTCTTGCTCTTGCTGTGAGATGTGCCACAACACCATAAAATGCGAATCGCAACAACATTCCGGGCCACAAGAAAAACAAACCCACAAAATGCTTGCACATATGCTTTTGCCCCGCCATCCTCCCTCCGACCAGTTGCTTTCATGCATAAAAAAATCAAAGTTTCAATGCATTTTCCAGCAATTTTCACACTCAAGCTGCCATGCAATGCATATGCAGCACTTCTCTACTTCAACTCTTCAACGCTTCACCCCCCTGCCCTTTCATACCCTCCATTGGCCTGACAGCTGCACTTACGCAATGTTACGCATAAGTGAACCCCGCTTCACCTCTCCCAACCCAACATGGGCCAACAAAAAGTATGCAACGCGTTTTTCAGCGAATTTAATAAAATGACATGCCGAAAATTGCCAGAATTCGCATGCATACAGATATATGTCGAAAAGAGTTTCGTAATGCCATGCCCCCCACGTCGCCCTCGCGCAATTCGAGCTAACAGCAAAAAGCATTGCATAACATCAGGCATTTTGGCGACGAACCCGTGTGGAAAATGATGCTTTTAAAGTGAGATTAGAATGTGTTTTGTCATTCTGCAAAAATTTTGCATAGCCATCGGCAGTCAATAAGCAGCCCCCATCCCCTCCCACGAGTCACAACCACCCGCAGCAACCCCTAAAACGTAGGCCGCACTTTATTAGCCGCCGTGACTAAGCGCCTGGCCAAGATAGAGTCGCGTGGCGCCCGAAAGTATGCCTCGGCATTTCAGCGGCTAATAACTCAATAAAACCAAAGAGGCAGGCAACTTCAACCGCCCCACAGCATCCCCATGCCACCTGCCCCCCTCTGCAGTCCGCCCGATGCTAAGCCGATTTCCGCTTGTTTGCCACGCAATTACAATTTGTCAGCTTGTGGCTCAGGTTGTCGTCTCTGGCTCGTCGGCTGCCAACTGCGGCGCATATATATCAAACGCCTAATTAGGGATTATAGCGAATGGCACAACACTCACAAAGGACCAAAGGCAAGCGCCTGGGCAGGGCCAAACGTCAGGTTGACACTTTGCCTGTCAGGATTTGAGACTTCACTTTGCCAATTGGCCAGGCCAAAGGATATCAAATTTCTATTATTTCTTACTGACAAGCCATAAATTGCATACAAGGGTGAGGTAGATCCTTATATGTCGTGGTAAGTTCTCTGACGATTTGAAGCATAAGCATCATTTCGAATTTTGAATTCAAAATTTGTGTGAAATGGTTTTGAAAAACTTGTAGATTCATTTTGAATAATGCCTGCTCTCTTTTCGGAGGTTCGATCCATACACTCTGAGACTTATCTGACGATGTGCAACATAAGCCACATTTCGAATTATTATTTCAAAATATATGTGTGAAATGTTTTCGAAAAATTTGTATTATATCATGATTCTATGAAAGCTAAAATTGTATACTATCTCGAAGTTCTATTTTTTGTAGGGCATAATAGAAATAATGATTTTTATGTCATATAAGTAAAGAATTGTTGAAATTTTTAAGGAAACTTTATATATGCTTCGCTCAAATAATTTAAAATATTTGAATGACTTACTAATGTTTATCATATATTAAAGAACCATATATTTATTTAAATAATTGTAAAATAATTTTTTTTAATGATTTTATTTGTTAAATATCTCGCCTTATTCACATCGAGAACTGATCTACAGAAAGCTGCATTCAAAGCACATACTCTTCGCAGTTGGTTACGCTTTTACACACCAGTCAAAACAACCTGCCGTGAGTTTTTGGGAATGTATTTTTAATATGATTACCTATTGCGTTGCGCTCAAAAGTGTGCAATAAAGCACAGAGTTTTAAGTTGGGCCACACGCCTACGGGGCCTAATGACCACACGTAGGACATCTTGTCCTGCGGTCACCATAAATAACGCCGGGCGCATTTGTCATACGACCCGTTGCCTCTCGAGCTGCCACGGGCCATGGCCAGCGTGGAACTGCTGCAGTCTTGGCCCTGGCGCCGACGTGTTGTTGGGCTGTAAATCAGCTCATTAGTTAAGTTGGCAGCCCCTGTTACCCCGGTTACCTTCCACGTGGTTTGCCTTTTGCCTGGGCGGCTCGTTAAGCTTCATTTAATCAAAACAAAAGTTTGGGCTGATGAAAAATGGCCAATCGGCCCGGCCGAAAGCGGCTAAAATGCCGCTTTGAATGCTAATAAATCTCATTTGGAGGCTTAAACTCAACCTTTGCCACTGCCAAATATAATTTAAGGCAACGAGAACAAAATCTATCTTCGTGTGTGTGTGCGAAAAACTTGTCGACAAGTTTCCATGTGGGGATTTCGTTTAGTGTTAATGCCCCACTCGAATCTCGGGATTTCTTTTGCTGCCACTTGATAGCCCGGCATAAGCCAAGGATTGTGGGAATTCGTTTAGAGTGTATGTGTGTGTGAGTGAGTGCGACTGTGTGTGTGTGGGTTAATGAAGCGTTGCCAATGGGCGTGTTGTGAGTGGGCTGTTCAAGTTAACTGAAGGATTGTCCGATGCGGGGTTATGATCTTTTGTTGATTGGCCGAACACGAACTGCTTTTTGTATTCCTGTTTATCAGCGCATGCGAATTTAAGCAAAAGTTTATTTTGACAAATACCCAAAGAAAAGCAGGGTATAAAAATAAGGAAACCCGAAAGGCATACGCTTTCCTCTAAAGTTTCAGCAACGCGAAAAACTTTGCTGTTGAACAATAATAATTCAGAAAATAGCCCAAAGGAGCTGCACACACAACAACAGCAATTTAAACAAGTAAAAGTGCTCCATTCGACAGTGCTGATTACACCATACCCTGTAGACAGATCTGTTGACATTTTGACTCAAACAGAACTGTATTTTTGTATCCCTACTGCTAATTGGATAAAGTGGCGATAGCTTAGAAGAGAGATTGAAAATAGTACGGCATACCAAAATAAATTACAGTGCAATGGATGCCTTTAAATTATTATATTATCGGGAAAATGGTATGCCAATAAATAAGAAAAGAAAGGAAAAAAGTATAGCAAATTACAAAAGCAATCTAAAGAGCTTATTTAGATTTCCTACCTTTGGCCTTAGGAAATGATTTGGCAGAGCAATCGCTTTTCTATGTTAATTGAAAAACATCATGCTGAAACTCGTATTCCACATGAGTTATTTTTCTCGATAACTTCTCCCATACAAAAAATTATAAAAACAATATCAATAAATTATCGATTTTGAGACTACTTTAAAGGAAAAACCGAATATTTAAATGAATCTCCTAGGCGATATATATTCGTATTTCATTCGCAGATTACTTTTTTGCTAAAACCGAAAATCATATTTACGACCTTAATGTAAAAATCGCTATCATAAAGAACCTCCAATTAGAATAACTATTAGCAAATTTTTAATATGATGTATACCTTAGACAAGGGCGTTCGACCTAACGCTTGTAAAAATTGTTCTTCAATAATTTCTGTATTTATTATGTGAATATAGCATGGAATACACACACATACTCCTTATATGAGTGGAAGTTAAACTAAATATCTAACTAAATATCTAACCAAAATGAAACTATTATTTAGGAAACTGTTCTTAATTCGATAAAAATAGAAATGGTTTTATGGTTGAGTGTTAATTAATGGCTTCCTTATATGGTCTCTTCTCTTCGCACTATTTAGTCATGCCGCATTTTCTCATTTGCCATCTTTACAGGGTATTAGCGCAACAACAAGAGCTTAAGTAGCGACCATAACGAGGGGCTAAGTGTATTTGACTTGCAGGTATGCCAGCTATAATGACGTCAAAGTTGGCAGCACTTTTACTAATATTGTTGCCGTTGCCTAACTACTACCTCACCGTTACAGCTACCGTTCCTCGTTCCCGTTCCGGTTCCAGATACCTTTCCTCCCTTTTCAGTTCCACTATGATAATGATAATGATGATAATGGACGAGCGCGGACCAGTGGCTGGAGCTGCGTTGATGACTTGCAGCTACTCCAAGCGCGCTAATCTTAATTACTTTTGTTTAATTACTTTGACGTTTCGGCCCTTCTCAGTCGTCCCCCCTTTCACCGCCCTTGCATTGTTACGGCGCACTGTGGTCTGCCGGAAGCTATGCAACGGCTTTTCTTCTTTTAAAATAAATAATGTTTACTTATTATTTTGAGGGGGGAGCGCGCAAAGTTTACGCAGTTAACAAAAGCTTTGTGTACCTTTTTTTTGTGTTGCTCGGCGGAAAAACCGAAACCGTAAGACAAATAAAGGCCACATGCTTTTAGGCGCTTTTCGCGGCACATTTTTTTGTTTTTGTAAACTAATTTAGTGATTAAAATCTGTGAAGCAGCTGCTGCGCAAGTGAAACGCCGGAGGGAGTCACCTGCACGCCGAACCCCTACCCAATTAACATAATAATGTTGATTTTTATTGCTTGCCAAAAAGTTTTGTCATTGACTTGGCCGATCCCCTAATTAGGGCGTGGCCCGACCTGACTTCCAGCCTCGATGCTAAGTTTATGTTAATTTAAAGTGCCGCCTGCTTAAATTTTTCATATTCTGCAAAGGTCTTGCTTCCTCCGCCTCTTTAGCGTTATATGGGCCATAAAATTGTTTGATTGCTCACTAAGCGCCTGAAAGTATGCACTAAAATTTCCACAAGCACAAGTTTGTGAGCTGCAAATTATTTATGAAGCCAATGAAAATCAAAAGCCACAAGCTCAGTCACACATTCTGGACATAAAACAGCAAGCCCAACAAAATGGGAGTTTTTTGAATTTGAATTTCGACATTTAAATGCTCTGCATAATGATGGCATTAAATGTGAGATCCGCAAAAACAGTTTTCTATTTGTGTAACTAATTCTATCAACATTATATGTTGCAAGGTTTGAATCAAAATTTGGTATTTCAAGCAATTATTAAAAGCACTACTTACATTTTTGCTAGAATTTGAAATTCACAGAGGCAGGCCCAGACTTTGAGGGTTACGAATCCATTTGGAGATATAATAACACAGTTCCTCCGCATGCCTACCAAAAGGCTTCCCGATCTCATCTTGACGGCTAAAAATAAATGTAATTTAAATTTATTTCGTTAACAAAAAACATATCTGATTATTTTTTTACAAATTTGGTATATTTAACTTTTAATTTGGCAGAGGGATATAGAAATATATATAGAATGAACTTAACGCAACTTTCCTCATTCTACTTACAAAGATTTTATATAAGTCTTTATCTAAAATGATTGCAGAGGACTTTATTTTATTATTTATTTATTTATATTTATGATTATATATTTTAAATTTGTATTTATTTATATCTCAATCATTTCAGCTTGGCGTCTACGCTTTTCGATGTTCCACATACCTTAAATTTTGTACCACAAACTATTCGTATTTCTGGCTGCCCTCAAAAGTAGGCTATAAATGTTAAGACCAAGCAATTGCTGTGCCGGACAGGCTTATGACGTGTTTAAAAGGCGAGCGTTAGCTTCAATCTGTGGGCGTATGTATGTATGTGTATGTGTGTGTGTGTGTGTGTGTGTGTGTGTGTGTTAGGGCATGTGCCAGTCAGTGAAGCATGAAACTGAGCCCAAAAAAATATGCGACTGCGGCAGCTACAAAGGCGTTGAAGCACTGTGCGATGTGACAGGATGTGTGCGTGTGTGTGTGTGTGCGTAGACTAACACCTGATTAGATTTGGCGCAATAATAATGCGAAGGCGGACAAGGACGAAAGCAAGCGCAGACGAAGTTAATGCGATTTTCTAGATACTTTGCATTTATTTATTTCCCATTTGCACTTCAAGCAGGCAGCTGGAGAGGCGCGGGGCTGCCTGTTGTAGCAGGCGCTTGTTTTTGGTTGTTTTTTTTTTTTTTACCGAAACACTTTTGAAATGTATTCGAAAACCTAGCTAAATTCCAAATTATAAGAAGGCATCGCAAAACGTGAAAAGTATACAATTTAACGATAGATTCCACGGAGATGGTTTCCCCGCCCTCAATTGTGGCCGCAACGCTGCTGCAAATGTGTGGCATCACGCTGTTCATACGCCAGCCGCAGGATCAGTGCTCGCCGGCGCCGATGCTGGCCAAATGGCTGTTCGTGCTGACTCTGCTGCTGTTGCTGTGGAGGTGCGAGATGCTGCCAAAGCGTTACACTAGCCTCTATCCGCGCATCCACATCTGTGTCGAGCTGCTGGGCACCGTCTTCATCTCGGAGCTGGCCATACTGATTGGCTGGTGCAGCTACGAGCGACTCGTCCACCAGCTAAGCCATCTGCTTTGCCCGAACTGCCGCTGGTGCGGCTACTTTACGCTCGGGATGCTAACGCTGCTGCCGTCGGCGCTGCTGCTGTTCACTCTGGCGCCGGCACAGTGGCGCGAATTTCTGGTGCAGCTGCTGTGGCAGCTGCCCCGGCCGGAGGCAGATGAGTGCCTGCTGGCATGTGCTCGCGAGCTGTCCAACTATGTAAGGGGATTGATGTACTTTTGTCAGCTGAGGCGCGAGGATCGGTTGCGTGCCATACGCCTGTTTCAGCTGCAGGCGGAGCGTACGGCACCGCACGAGGAGCGGCAGCACTAAAAAAGTGAAATCAAAATCGGAATTGGAATCGAAATCGAAATCGGAATCGGTATCGGTATTGGTATTGGTATTGGTATCGGAATCGTAAATTGTTTATTATGCACACAAATTTATGCGAACATCTGTTGTTGTTATCCTGGCCTCTCACATTTCACAGTCTTTCTTTTCGCATCCGCAGGGGGGTGGCTTTTGGGATACGGTTTTTGTCTTTGCCAACTTTGTTTGCTTTTAATTTTTTGCTCGAGCTGCTGTTGCTTCTCCCTCCTCCTCTCTATATCTCTCCCTCCCATCTCACCCTCACTCTCTCTCTCTCTCTCTGTCTGCACCTTCGCTCTCTTGGCCATTTTAATTTTCGTTGGCTGTCGTCGACATGTTAGCCGCAATTGATTTGCCGTAAATTGTATTTTTAATCTGCCGACAGGCGTACCACATTTACGTTACGTTCAATTCACACCTTGTTGTTTTTCTTTTACTCTTTTCCTTTCCTTTTTTGTCGGAGGTGGCCCTAATGAATGTGCCAGCATGTTATTTATTTATTAGCTCACGCACTGCACAAAGGTAACGAGTTTATGTCCAAAAAATATCGTCGCAATTTCACAAATTTTCCGTCGAAAATATTTTGGATCTAGACTGAGAATAGCTTGGCTACTTAAATAAGCTTCAATATTCAGAATCGGGATTTCGAAAATTGAATTTTTGTATCTCAACTTTATTTTTGCTAGTTTTACAAAGGCTAAGCTACTAAAGAGACTGATTTTTTTTGAGATTTTTCAATCATTAGGTGAATTTTGAAGGAATGAAGGTATATACAAATATTATTAAACGAAATAAAAAAACAAAGAGAAATTAAAGCAAATTGTTGGTTTCGTATGTATTGAAACTTCAAAGGCAATAAGGTTTTCCAAAACATCCAACTATGAGAGGAGTACAGCTCTTTTATTTATTTGTAGATTTACGAGCAATCGATTTAATTGCAAATTGTGACAAAGCAGACATCAAACAGCGACCCACATACAAGGCACGAAAAATAACACGAATGCAGCGCCTACAATATTTTTAGGCGATGCCAATGAAAAATGATTGACAGTTGCGAAAATCGCATTAATGTCACTCATACGCCGCGTGTGCCAGTTGCTGTTGCTGTTGCTATTTCTGTTGAGTAATTGAATTTGTGTTTGTGTTGATTTGATGTAACCTGCTCAAAGTCGAAGTGGAAACAGTACATTTAATATATCAGCATACCCAAAGACACACAAGCAACATATAGTATGCCCCTTCACTCCCCCGACAGTCGCAAGCAGCGTGTCAAGTTTCTTGAAGGGGGTGAGACAGAGAGAGGGGGAGAGAGAAAATGTGGTGCTTGGCATTCCATCAGACAGTGTGTGTTTTTTGTCTTAAGACATATATTTCATTGTTTGTCTTTTGCTAGGGAATTTGATTAGCTACGAACTGCATGGAGCTTCCCAGCTTCTCCTTCTGTCTCTCTCTTTCTCTCTCGAGTGCAACACGGCGTATGCTTTATGTAAAATAATGTTAGCTCCACTTGCCACAAGGAGTCGAGTATTGCATATCGCACAATTTATATTTAAATAAAGTAACGCGTGTTTTTTGTTGCTGTTGATTTGCAAATAAAAATCAACTTTCAAGTAGAGTTATATATGGTCTGAAGTTTCAGACAATGTTGATTAGATGTGCAAATAACTCGCAAATATGATGATGGAAAAAGATATGCATAATTAAATCAAATGAAACATAGAAGTGTTTTACAGTTTCAAATAGATTGGGCAAAGCATTGCAAATGGAATAATGTAAAGTTGAAGAATGCCAAAGAATGTCTGGAAAAAATAGAATTTGTTGCAATTAGGAGAGTGCCTAAATATTTAGTCGGGCAAACAATAGAAACACATAAATTGAAAGCGAATCTTGAGCAGTTCGTTGTGGAATGTTATATATATATCTATCCAACAGACATGATTTTAATATTATTTAGTATTTAAGCAAAAGATATATTTATATATATACATATGGTAAATTGTTATATAATATAATAAATATTTAATACATAAGTAAACAATTGATCGCACATAGCTGGCTCAAGTCGAATATCGGACCATAAGCTAGTTTCGAGTAGTAGTTGGGATAATGCCACTATGCAGCATTCGCCAGGCAACAGCAGTTATTGTTTTGTTTATTTTATCTATTTCTTTTATTTTGCTGTTGTTGTTGTTGTTGTTGTTGTTGTTGTTGTTGTTGTTGTTGTTGCAGCTGCAGTGGCCACTTGAGTTGCTTTTATTTTATTGAAGATTTGTATCAAAATGTCAACAGCTACGTATGTCAACAACGAGAACGGCAACGGAAATAAAAGCAAAATGGCAAAGAAGTTGCTCTTTTGATGTGGATTGTGCAGTTGTCTCGAGCTGCCCCCCTCCCACATGCTGCTCGCTTCTTGCTGCTGCTGCCAGCGCTCGCTGCTTTCTTGACTGCCTTTTGAGAACTGTGGCAAATAAAATGTTTACTTAAAAAATTGCAGACATGCACTGCTCGCTGTTCGGCTGCTGGGCTGCCTGAAAATGTTGAAATGCGCATTTCAGTTGCTGCTACATTTGCTTTTGGGGTGTTCGGGTCTTTGGGTGTTTTGTTACCAGGAATTTACTGCAGTCACGACTACGCCCTGACACAAATACATTTAAAAATGTGCCAACATATGTTGAGCTTGGCGGGTGGAGAGGCATTTAAGCACATATTTCTTTTGGGTAACAGCGTTGACAGTAGCCCAGTACGCTTGCCACTTACGTTCGGATAGCAGAAACTATTTACAGACTACGGATTGGAATTACGTAAAAATTTATGGCCATAATATAAGGCAAAGTATTTAATATTTAATGTAGATTAAAACTGGTTTTGATCTCTTAAATGCTCGAGAGAGAGAGTCAAAATGCCCAAAGAAAGTGTATTCAGACCTGAGATCTTCTACTCTAATAAACATAAAAAATGCATTAAAATTATATAATAAATAAATAAAAACTGAATAAATGTGTTGTAATAGGAATATATGTAAATTGCAAGGGCGAAAGTCTGTTCCAATTTTAACTAAAAGTATGTGAAACAAAATTAAAAATATATATATTTCGTTGCTAAAGCGAAAAAGACAAAAAATAGCTTAATTTAATATACTGATTTTGATTTCGATTTTTGTTTTATGTCCAATTTTGTTTAAACCTTTATTTTTCCCGCATGTTTCCCGTGAAGCATATGGCACACAGCACAACACAACAGAACACAATACGACAGGCTGGACAACAGAAGGTAACAACAACAACAACAACAGCAACAACAACAAAGGATCAACAATCAAGTCACAACAAAAAGTAAAGAAGACTAGCAAAAAGTTGTTAGCCAATTTAGTAAATGTCCAGTCTATGTCTGTGTGTGTCTGTGTGTGTGTGTGTGTGTGTAGCTCGTTTGCCGCTTTGTGTACTTTTTGTGTTTCGTATTGAATAACAAATCATTTGTGGCATATGTTTAGGGGCCTCAACACAACTTGCAGCCTGACAATAACAACAACAACAACAACCACAGCAACTATGAAATCAAGCAGAGCCCAAATTGGACGAACACGTTAAATGGCCAGTTAACATTTGGATAGTTGGCTAGTTCGTCAAGTTGTTAGAGCTTACAAAAAGTTGTAGATCAAAGTTAACCAAATTGAGGCATAGTTAAATAGCTCGATTTCCATTGATAGCTGAACTTTTGGCTTTAATACCCGATATAAATGCTGCTTCACTTTGATTAAAGTTTTGGATTTTTTTTTTTTCGTTTCCGTTTGCATTTTGGCCATGGCCTGTCACGCTTGCGGGGATTAGCAGAAGGCTCTCTGCGCTCTCTGCTACGTGAGTAATTTTTCAAAGCATGCAGCCACGCACACACACACACACCCACACACATAGACATGCACACAGAAGCGCACACAGACAATCGTAGCTTTCATGGATATAGATGCCTGCCAATCGTTATGAAGTCAAAAAAAAAAAACAAAGATTGAAATATCTTATGCTATATCTACGACTCTCAGATGACCTGTAATTGTGCTTCTCTTTTGAATTGATTTATATGCATTAAAAAAGATGCTCTCTTCGAAACTTAACTGCGAGTTAATTTTAAAATAAAATATATTTTTAATCAATTCCATTTTATTTATGTTAAAAATTATGTGGGTGCTCATAGTTAAAATTATTGTTTAAAAATTGTTTCTATCTTAAAAATGTCACTTTTTTATTATTTTCCCAACTTATATTTATTCGTCAATCAATATTTAAAAGCTGATACTTGAATCCCGTGAATGCTTTGCCTTCAGTTAATATACCCTTGAATATACCTTGTACAGGGTAAACATTTTTGAGTGCTGAGCGTTGGCAAAAGATGTGGGGTATAAGCCGTAATACAATTTGTAGGCTGCGCTCTCTTCATTAGGAATTTTATTCCTTTTTGGCCAGCGATAAAAAAGAATTTATTGCCGCAAGTTCAAACCATTTTGTGTAGTAACATTTTTTTTATTTGGCCCCAATTGCCACGCTCGCTGCATTTTCAATTGCATTTAATGTATATATTTAGGGTCCGCGCATTTTCTGCTTTTTGCGCTTTTCCGATTTAGTGAAAAGCTCGCACAGAGCATTTAATTTTCACATGACTTTGCTGAACTTTAGCGGCACATTTTAGATTTAGAGGACGCGCTTGAATTGCCCCCGCCGGATGGGGTTAATTAGACCTTGTTAATTGACGGTAATTAAGTCAGTGCTAAAGGTTAGTTTGCCAGCTGCTTGATGGGGGCTATAAATTATCCCGATTTGAGCAAAGTTCCTACCAATGAAGTTTTTTCATTGAAGCAAATGGCGATTACTCGAATAGTGATGCTTAGTGCAAATTACCAAAAATAATTGCGAAATAGCTTATCGACGATGAATATCGATATAGTCGATAAATTCATTCAAACGAGGAATGACTAAATTGAACGATATCAATTGAATTGCAAATCCTCCATGAAATACCCTTAAATAGTTATTATTAGAATAAAAATGAGATATTAGCTTATCATGTGTCTAAATAAGATCACAAATTCAGGCGTTATTGTAAAATAACATGCATAACTGTA